GACAAGGATGCCCACTCTCACCCTTCCTTTTCTACATAGTTTTGGAAGACCTGGCTAGGGCAGTCAGACAAGAGTAGGAGATCAGGGGTATCCAAATAGGAAAAGAGGAAGTCAATTCATCCCTCTGCAGATGACATGATTCTATACCTTAAAAACACAAGAGAATCTGTCAAAATCTACTTTCATTAATAAAGGACTTTGGCAAAGTCTCAGGGTATAAAATCATTTGCAAAAGACAGTTACATTTCTATACACCAACAATAAACAAACAGAAACCCAAATAAAAAGCACAATCCCATCCACAATAGCCAGGAGAAAATGAAATACCTTGGCATCTTACTAACCAGAGATGCGAAAGACCTTCATAATGAAACTACAAAACACTGCTCAAAGAAATCAAAGATGACACAAACAAATGGAGAAATATTCCATGCTCATGGATTGGAAGAATCAACATTTTTAAGATGTCCATCCTACCTAAGGCAATCTACAGATTTAACACAATACCCATTAAATTACCAACAGCATTCTTCTCAGACCTGGAAACAACAATACAGAAATTCATATGGAAACATAAATGACCGTGAATCACTAAAACAATCCTCAGCAAAAAAAAAAAAAAAAAAGAAAGAAAAAAAAGAAAAAGAAAGCAAGTGGTATCACACTCCCAGACTTTAAACTTTATTATAAAGCTACAGTAATTAAAGCAGTCCGGTATTGGTACAAGAACAGGTATATAGACAAATGGAACAGGATAGAAATTCCAGAAACAAAACCTCAATTTCTCAACTCATCTTTGACTGGGGAGAGGAGAACCTACTCAGTAAATGGTGCTGGGAAAACAGGCTGACCACATGCAGAAGATTAAAACAAGAGCCCTACTTATCACCATACACAAAAATCAACTCTAAATGGATCAAAGACCTAAATGTAATACCTGAAACTATAAGAACCTTAGAAAATGCAGAAGACACCCTTATAGAAATTGGAACTGGCAACCAATTCCTGATCAAAACCCCAAGTACCCATGCCTTAAGAGATAAGTTAGACAAGTGGGACCTCATTAGGCTGACAAACTTCTAGCAAAGCCAAAGAAACCATCAAGAGAGTGGGGAGCCTGCCCACAGACTGAGAAAAAATATTTACCAACTGTATGTCTGACAAAGCCCTAATATCTAGGATATACAAGGAACTCAAATGTGCCGAAAAGAAAAAAACAAACAGCCCTGTTACAAAGTGGGCAAAAGATATGAAAAGACACTTCTCAAAAGAAAACATACAAGCCGCCAACAGTTACATGAAAAAATGCTCAGCTTCACTAGTCATCAAAGCAATGCAAATTAAAACTACACTGAGATACCACCTAACTCTAGTCAGGATGACTATCATCAATGACTTAAAAAACAACAGATACTGGAGATGATGCAGTGAAAAGGAAACACTTCTACACTGTTGGTGGGAGTGTAAACTAGTACAGCTTCTATAAAAGACAGTGTGGTGATTCCTCAAAGATCTAAAAATTGACCTTCTATATGATCCCACAAGCCCCTTACTGGAAATATATCCAGAAGAACTCAAATCACTCTATAAAAAAGGTACCTGCATGCATATGTTTATCACAGCATTGTTCACGGTAGCAAGAAAATGGAACCAACAGTGCTGCCCATCAAAAGAGAGCTGATTAAAAAATGTGGTACATATGCATGATGGACTATTACACAGCCATAAAGAAGGACAAAATCATGAACTTCACAGCAACCTGGATGGACTGAGTGATCTTTCACGGAAACAAAGAACTGAGTATCACCCACTCTCACTTATAAGCAGACCTTAAACAATTATTGTAATACTATAAGAAAAGGATTGGCAGTAGCAGGAGACTTACAGGAGGTTCTCAGGGAAGCAGGACTGGCAACAGTGGGAATCTGCCTGGAGAAGGCGGGGGGCACATGAAAAAAACCCCAATACCCTTTGTTCTGGCAGATTTTAGTTCTGACTGAGTTCTGTTCTCTGCCTTCTAGTGCGATGTACTTGAATGAAATATTCATTGTCCATGTAACATTGTTCAGTGCAATTTTTGCTCTACTAAGAGGTCATTTCAAGTTTCAAAATATACTATTCATCATCAAAATTTCAATTTATCTGTCAAAGATTAGTTGAGAGATTGAGTTTTTGCTTCTGTAATCTCTGTTCTGTTCCATCGGTCTATATGCCTATTCTTGTACCAGTACCAGGCTGTTTTGATTATTGTAACCTTAGAATGAAGTTTAAAGTCTGATAGTGTGATATGTCCCACTTTGTTCCTTTTGCTGAGGATTGTTTTGACTATTTGTGTTCCTTTTAGTTTCCATATGAGTTTCTATATTGTCATTTCTAGGTCTGAGAAGAATGCCGTTGGGAATTTGATAGGTATTATGTTGAATCTGTAGATTGCCTAGAGAAGGATGGACATTTTGACAATATTGATTCTTCCAATCCATGAGCATGGAATGTTTTTCCATTTGTTTGTATCTTTGATTTCTTTGAGCAGTGTTTTGTAGTTCTCATTATAAAAATCTTTTACTTCTCTGGTTAGGAAGATGCCATCGTATTCTTGTCTTTCTTTCTTTCTTTCTTTCTTTCTTTCTTTCTTTCTTTCTTTCTTCTTTTTTGTGACTATTGTGAATGGGATAGAGCTTTTTATTTGTTTCTCGGCCTGTTTGTTACTGGTGTATAGAAATGCTACTGTTTTTGCACATTGATTTTTTAATCTAAAACTTTACAAAAATTATCAGAGCAAGGAGGATTTTGACGGACTCTCTTAGCTTTTCAAGGTGTAGGATTGTATCATCCATGAAGAGGCGTAGCTTAACTTTTTCTTTTCCTATTTGGATAGCCCTGATTTTCTCCTATTTCCTAATTCCTCTAGCAAGGCCTTTCAGCATGATGTTAAACAGGAGGATGAGAGTGGGCAACCTTGTCTTGCTCATGCTCTAAGAGGGAATGCTTCTAAATTTTATCCATTGAGCTGTGGGTTTATCATAGATGGTTCTTTCTGTTTTGAGAAGTGTTCCTTTTATGACGAGGTGTTCAAGGGTTTTTATCAGGAAGGGATACTGGATCTTGTCAAAAGTTTCTTCAGCATCTAATGAGATAATCATGTGGTTCTTGTTTTTACATCTATTAATGTATTGAATTACATTTAGGGTCTTGTGAGTGTTGAACCAGCCCTGCATCCTCGGAATGAAGCCTTCTTGGTCATGGTGAATGATTGTTGAGATGTATTGGATCCAATTTGTGAGGATCTTATTGAGAAATTTTGCTTCTATGTTCATCCCTCAAGGAGACTGCCCTGTAATTCTCTTTCCTTGTTGGGTCTTTACCAGGTTTGGGTATCAATGTGGTGCCATCAATAACAACCACTGGGGAGAAGGGACCCTATTCAACAAATGGTACTGGGAACAACTGGCTGAACACATGCAGAATGAAACAGGACCCTGTACTATCACCATATACAAAAACCAACTCTAAATGGATAAAAGCTCTAAACAAACAAACAAAAAAACCTCAAACTGTAAGAATCTCAGAAGAAAACACAAGAGATGCCCTTATGAACATCAGAGTAGGCAACTAATTCTTGATCATATCCCCAAAAGATAAGATAGACAAGTGGGACCTCATTAAACTGAAAAATTTTTGCATAGCAAAAGAAACTATCAAGAAAGCAGGGAGACAACCCACAGAATGGGAAAAAAATATTTGCTAACTGTGTATCTGACAAAGGCCTAACATCTGGGATCTACAAGGAACTCTAATGAGTGGAAAGGAAAATAACAAATAGCACTATTAAAAAATGACAATAGGACATGAATAGATACTTCTCAAAAGAAGATACATGACCAGCCAACAGAGCCATAAGAAAATGCTCAGCCTCACTAATCAACAGAGAAATGCAAATCAAAACTGCACTGAGATACCACCTTACCCCAGTAAGGATGGTGCTGGTGTAAAGAAAACAGGGCACTTCTATACTGTTGGTGGGAGTGCAAACTAGTCCAAACTCTATGGAAAATAGTGTGGTGATATCTAAAGGAATTAGAAATTTACTTTCCATACGATCCAGCAATCTGCCTTCTGGGAATATACCTGAAGGAATATAAATTGTTCTACAAAAAAGGCACCTCCACACACATGTTCATTGCCTCACTATTCACAACAATAGAAACATGGAACCATCCCTACTGCCATCAGAAGTAGACTGGATAAAGAAAATGTGGTGCATATATACAATGGCATACTTTGCTGCCATAAATGAGGACAAAATAATGGACTTCTCAGCAAAGTGGATGGAATTAGCGCAATCATTCTTAGTAATCTATCACAGAAACAAAGAACCAAATACCAAATGTTCTTAGTAATAAGTGGGACCTATGACCATCACTCACAATAGCACAAGAAGGAATGGGTAGTTGTGGGACCCTGTGAGGTGGGGGAGAAAGGGAACGGCACCTAGCGACATAAAAGAGGCCTGATTCTAAACCAGGGGAAGTGAGTATCAGTGGAAGGCTCAAACTTTAACTGCACATACATTATTTATGTACCTAATCCTGACCTGTACCCCATATCTTTAAAATAAAATAAACTAAAAAAATAAAATTTCAATTTATTCACTTTTGCATTTACATCTTTGTGGACTCCCAGCTTTGCATTTTGCTCAATAGGTTATAATCTCCTATTTTATCCTCAAAGTGTTCCAAATTGGGTCATGAGAGTTTCCACAAGATGCCCTTTCTATTATTGACCTCCACAATCCTTTGCTGATTTGCAGCTTAAAGAAAAAATAGTACCAACATTAGCAGAATACCTGTAACCACTTTTGCCAGTGTTGAATTGCCCTTTATATTAGGCCTGATTTATAAGAATTAACCACACAGATATAAAATGCAACTTTATTTTTCCAAATATTGTTCTTTTCTTTATTTTTAATAAATTTATTTTTGTATCCTCCATCATCAGAAATATTAAACTAGTGTATCGTTTTTTCTGCAAATCCATTTTCTTTCTGGGTAGCACCTAGCTGTTGCTGCACCATCATCATTGAGGTAAGCACATTCTTCTCTCCCTCTCACCTTAAACCTGTAATAAAGGGATTAACCATTATATATGAGGGAATCATGTACTTTTTTCCTTGTCTAGTGACACCTTTAAACGAAAACCCTATCTGTGTAAAGTCTTGAAAAGATGTACTGTGACACAGTCCTCTCTTGCTAAGTTTGAGACACCAATACTAAGTTGGACCAAAAGAGTCTCTCTTCCAAGAATTTGTACTTGTTACTGACATCAGATTAGTGTAATATAATCCATATGTAATCAGTGGAGCTAGTAGTCCATATAAACCAATGGTTCTTAACTAGGGGTGATTTTGCTTCTCCTCCTTGGGACACATGGCAATATTTAGAGATATTTTTGATTGTCATAAGTGGAGGCAGGGGTTGAATGGAGTGAATAGTTACTATCACCTAATGGGTAGAAGCCTGCAATGCTGCTAACATTCTACAATGCTCAAAAAATATGCCTCTTTTTCACAGCATAGAAGTATGCAGTACAAAAAAGGTCAATAGTACTGCTATTGAGAAACTCTAATATAACCTAAATGGCTAACTGACTGGTAGTCACCATTCAGGGTATGTATGCAGGTTTTACACATCATAACACCGAAGATATGAAACCCAGGACAAATTGCAATTGCAAATAAAACCAGGTTAAATGAACATCAAGTTGACCCTGAACTGTAAAATACACCATAAACTTAACTAGATAATTAGTTAAGTTTCAAATCAGGCAAAAGTTTAATCTGTGGGGAGCCAAGCATATGAATCTCAGGCCATTATTTTCAAAATAGTCAACTAGTAGTTCTGTCCCCTTATATCTTAATTTCCAACTTTTATGGTTGACTCCTGGAACAAATTTTAATCAATGATCCAATCCTCACTCCATCTCTCTAATATGCACACAGATCTTGGTCTCTAAAGAAATTAAGCTAAAGCACAGATCCTAGAGAAAGTTGCACGATCTAAATTTAAATAATCCTAGAAAAAAAGAAACTCACCAATTGTTAAACTTGGTTCCATCTACCCAGTTTCCTGTTTGATTGTTAATCATTGTCAGTCCAATCCAGTGATCAGAATTGCCTTTGTAGCGCCTAAGAAAGTTCTTTAGTGACAGAATTAATTTCAAAATTGTACTTGTCAGTTTTCATTTCAACCTACAGCATACATCTTGCTTTGCATGTTGTGAGGTACAAGGCAACAAATGTTCAACTTCCATCTTCATCAGAAATTAACTATGGAGTTTTCTTAAAATATTTTACTTTTTCTCTGAACTTCATCTTTTTTCTTTGTGAAACAAAGTTGTGGGATACATTTTCTGTAGATACCTTTTGATTCTACATTGATGAGTATTCAATTTGAAAATCTGTTACTTCAGGATTTTCAAATTGTAAGCTCCTAGAAAGCCAGTGTTTGTAGTTGAGCTCTTGCATAGCATCTGAATTATCAGATATTTATTATAATGTTTTCTACTTCACAGTAAGTACTAGTAATTTTAGTGTCATGTCATATTTTACTTCAACTTCTCTTCCAAAATAACATGATGAACACACACACACACACACACACACACACACGCACACACACACACCCATCACCAATTCACTTAGAAACTAATGATCAAATTGTATTTTTCTTCCAAACATTTTCATTTTGAAATATGTCATCTAAAGGGAAATGTTATTATCTGATATTTCTCCTTCTTATGCATTGTTTAAATTTCTTGATACTCTAGACCTTTTTGTAATGATAGAATTGTACTATATAAAGTCCTTGAGTCTACTTTTCTGCAAATAGCTGGGAAACTATAAGCTTAACATTTTACCACTCCATGTTTCAATTTTATGATAAATATTAAAAGTTCACACAACACTATAATCACAACACTATAATCAAATTCTATCTAATAACCGTAACACTCATAAATTTTGGTATTTAATATACCATTTTCTGCAGCATGTTATAAATTTATTTGAAATATATAATTTATTAGCTTAAGTTTGGGATTTTAAAAAATAGTTTAAGAAAATATCATTCCTAGATTAAAGGACTTCATCTACTATAACAAAAATAATGTAAATTTTCTGCGAGATAAGGAGAAGATGATGCATATAATACATACAATAATAAATCATAGTTTACAGAAAGTAACATCTGAGTCTTTAAGGGAAACTTTATTTTATTTATTTATTGTAGACAAGGTCTCACTATGTTGCCCAAGTTGATCTCAAACTCCTGGTCTCAAGGGAATCTTCCAGCTTTGGCCTCCCAAAATACTGGGATTACAAGCATGAGATACCGTGTCTGACCCTAAGGGAAACCTTTATATAGAATAAACTCTAAGAGGTCATTTTATTCCATTAAAATACAGAAAGCAAAGGAGAAGAAGGCAATATATATTCTAGGCTTAGGAAAGAAAACCCTGTTTGAGTGGTCTTTTTAATGGAACTAAGAGAGTATTTCCTAGAGCCTGTCTATGAATAATGTGAATAATTATTCACTCAATAAAGCAATGCCCCTTGTTGCCCCTTGTTAAAAATGCAAGAATTCTAAATAGGTGGAAATAAATATAGAAAATAATAGAACAAGCTTTACCTGATATTTAGGTAAGAGAAACATCATTTTGTAATTAAAATATACAATATTTTAACTAACCTATTAAAATTCTTCTGTAAATTACTTACCTCTACTCCCTCACAAACAGCTTTACCTCATTCTATCTGTCACATTTTGCCACTGTAAATAGTTACCATCCATGCACTTTAAAATGCATCAAGATATTTTATGGTCAGTCTTTTAAAAAAATCAAAACAGTTCAATCATTCCTCCCTGATACATTTAATGGTTCTTCTTAAGTTCAACCTTGTTCTTTGAGTGTCATGATTGTCACTATTTTTTGTCAGTCTCTGTTGACAAGATTCTTATAGTGGGATGTTTTAAAAACATCAATTGCCTTTTCATTTATCATTCAAACATTTTAACAACACTCCTTATTTTTCCATCTTGCTGCTATTTTATTTTTCTTTCCCCCAAGGACAGCTATAAAAACAATTCAGAGGATTTCTCAGAATGTTCATTTTCAAAAGTCTTGCAAAATTTCACAGACAATATTAACTACAGATTTCCTATTAAATTGAGCTTGCACCTCAGTTCTTGATTGCTCTATCTACTTTTAACACATCTAGCTTTTCACATTTTATTAAGCTTTCAATACTTTACATTGCTTGCAAAATCCTTGTACTGATGTATAAATTGCCCCAGTCTGGAAAACATGCATTTACTTTTGAAGCAATTTTCAAACCGATTGCATAAATATACATTGTTTACCACAGAGGAAATACATAACTGTCTTTTAACAATATTAACTCCTGTGCTATTCTGCTTTACATTTAAAACATTTCTCAACTGCGCATTATTTTCAGAAAAGAATTTTTAAATTGACTTACATTATTTATTCTTTTATTCTTAAACAGACTAAATAATTGTAAACACATATACTTACCATATAAGTGACTAAGGAAACAAATTTCATAAATGCAGAGCTAAAGCTTTAAACTTCTGGGAGAGTTTCTTTACTCCAGGAGATTTTTTTCATGTAAATCAATATTTATTCAACAAAAAATATATTAGACTTTGTATTTGTACCTGACTTTGTGCAATACAACCAAGGATATAATTTCAAATAAGTCATGATACCTGCTCACTGGAAGCTCATACTTTGGTTTTGGGGGGAAATCTTTCAATTTCACTTTCTGTTACATTACTAGTAGATAGTGTCTGATGAAGGCTGCCATGGGACCTCAGAGACAAGCAACAAACCAACTTAAAAAGTCAGCACCAAGTTCCTCAAAGGGAATAGAATGAAGAGTCCCCTCCTTCCTAAAATAATTCTCCTTTCTTGGAGGAATACTGTCTTTTAAAAGGTATCCAAATATTATCCAACTCTTATATGTATATTCTTTGAAATATAAAGATAGGAATCAAGTCTAATATTTGATGTAAAACTTATACTCTTCAAACAAAATAACCCCAGGTTTTTAAACGACATCTCATCTAGCATATTCTGAACAGCTTCAACGTTGTACAAAGATAGGAATAAGTAAAAACATTTTTAAAATTGTAATAACATTTGAATATCTCTAATGCTTCAGCTCAAGATAATTCTTAACAAATGTATATTTAAAATACTTACCATTTCTTGTTGTGTGTCAATTTTCGTTAAGAAAGCATCTTCAGTGGCACAGTTGTCTCTACTTGATGTCCAATTTGCTTCTTTTTCAGAAAAATAATAGCATTTGCGTTGGAAACCAATCCACTTATCTGGGCAGCACCCTTTAGGAACCTGGTCTTTAATGAAAATTGTTGCGCTTAGGAAAAGATAAAATAATATGTCTTGATATAATTATGGAAAGATGGGATTGTGATGTAAAGGACTACAGTCATGAACAGATTTATATACCTATCACATCAAGGTTGAGAAAAAATTGCATTTGTAATGCTAGATCACGTAAAAAGAAGTTTAGGGACTAACAGAATACTTATATTCCTTTCAACTCCAATCTCAGTGATATATACAGGCATTCATGGAGCAACAAGTATTCCACTTGGGTGAGTCACACTTGCCATTTCTGGGTAAATGAAATCCTAGCATTATCTAATATAAACAATAATTTATATTAGGCTATAAAAAATCAAGGATACATGATTTAAATTCCAATAAGTAATGAAAATAATAATAAAAGAGAAGACATAAGATGTATTGCCTGTTGTCAGCTAAGTATTGCCATCACTGAATAGTTCTGGGTTAGTTAATAAATGGAACCCACACGGAATTTGGAAGGTGGAAGTAAATCTGAAGACATTATTTTTAGAAATCATGGGTCTTTCCATGAGCTCTCCTTTTGCACTCTTGGCAGCTATATGTTTTAGCTTCTTTTCTCTGGTATCTGGGCTTTCCAAATACATCCGTGCACAGGCCAATATTGTTAGTGACTACTTATCCTCCAGCTACACAGCCCCAGCCTTCAGTTATACATCAGCTCCTAGATCCTCCCATGTTCTTGCTGTCCTTAATTTCTATATTAAAACATTATCGTTGTAATAGGCTTTTTTTTTTTTCCTGAGCATACCCAGATTTAATCAGTTTTGGGTACCAAAATGATTCTAAGTGAACAGAACCTTATGAGATATAATGGTGTTTTTCCGACGGTCTGTGGGCAGAGGGGCAAAATAATTAGTTACCACCTGATGCCAAGAGCCAAAAGAAGATAAAACTTTTATCACCTTTCTCCAATCGCATATATAGCCACAAGGCGAAAAGAGTAAAGATAATCTTATCTGAGCATCATAATTAACAAGCCTAAGCCAGTTGACACAGAGAACTACAGACAATTATAGAATGTACATTCTTTTAAGGTGCATGTGAACCATTTACTAAAATACAGGATGACACGGTGAAAACAACTTTTAAAAGAATGAAGACATTTATGGTATATCACTTGGATGCGGTAGAACTGAGCCATGTAACACTAAAAATAAAATTAGAATATCACCAAAGTTTGTAAATTAAACAATGCAACGCTAAATTGTTCATGGCACAAATAAGACGTCGTCATAGAGTAGAAAATATTTTGAACTGAAGGATCGTTTTGTAAATGTTGGTATTTGTAGTATGTTATTTGTATGTCTTCTAAGTATATATACAATATCCAAACTTAAGCGATGCAACTAAACATGTGGAACACAATACACTCCCTTAAAGGTTGGAGAAAATGTGTTTTAAGAAGAAAGAAAAGCTTTTTGAAAAGACAGATATCTAATTCAAAAAGTAAGAGTGGTGAGTAAAAACTAAAACAGAAAGATTTTTTTTAAAGAGTAGAAATCGAGTAGAAAATTAATGTAAAATTTAAAATTTCAACAAAGTCATAAGTTAACTTTTGTTGAATAATCTAAAATAGGATAGAACCCTAGAACTAGAAACATCGATTTTTTTTTTCTTTTTGAGTTGGTGTCTCACTGTCACCCAGACTGGAGTGCAGTGGCACCGTCCCTGCCACCGCAGCCTCGACTGCTACCACGCCTGGCTATTTTTTTTTTTTTTTTTTGAGTCAGAGTCTCATTTTGTCACCCAGGCTGGAGTGCAGTGGCCCAATTAAGGCTCATCACACAGCCTCAACCTCCTGGCTTCAGGTGTTCGTTCTGCATCAGAATCCTGAGTAGCTGGGATTACAGGCACCCACCACCACTCCTGGATAATTAAAAAAAAAAAAAAGTTTTTGTAGGCGCAGCCTGTGGGAGCTGGCGGCGCCCCTGGGCCTGGGGTCCCGTGGTTATCAGACGCCTCTCCCCCTGCACCGCTCCTCGGGGCCCTGGTGGCCAGACCCAGAGGACCCCCGACCCCGCACTGGTAGCTGGGGCCGCGCTATGCGGCCAAGCAGTTCACGTGGCCCGGTGCCGCCTCCAGGGTGGCCCCCGGCTCGCTGTGGCCATCGCGGGAGCAGCTGTGCGAGCTGGAGGTCGAAGAGAGCGAATGGCACCTGCGCCTGGCCGCCATGCGGGAGTCGCTGCGGGTGAAGCAGCTGGCCGAGGAGGAGAAGCGTCGGTCCAAGGAGCGCGCATCGCAGGGTGCGTGGCCAAAACGCCACTTTGAGAACTGGCGGAGACAGCAGCGAGAGCGCTGGGGGAAGACACAGGCAGACGAGGAGAGGAAGGCTCGGCTGCAGGCTCAAGCCCCGGAGCGCCTGGGTCACCACGTGGACCCCAGGAGCACCCGTTTTCAGGAGCTGCTCCAGCCCCTAGAGAAGCAGCAGCGAAAGCGCCTCAAGGAGGAAAAACAAAGGTAGAAGAATGAAACAGAGCTGCTGCAATGGCTGCTGCTGCGACCCAGGACCCAGCAGCCTCCGGGACATGCAGCGCCTGAGCCTTGTCCTTTCCAATAAAGCTGAAAGCTCTGTCCTCTTTTAACAAAACAAAACAATTTCTTTTTTTTTTTTTTTTTTGTAGAGACAAGGCCTTGCTATGTTGCCCAGGTTGGTCTAGAACTCCTGGGCTCAATTAATGCTCCTGTCTTAACCTCCCAAAATGGTGGGATTACAGTCATGAGGCACTACACCTTGCCTAAAAATGTTTAAAATGAGAGATAAGACACAAATTATCAATACCAAGGATGAAAAAGTAGAGAAATTTCTAGAATCACACAATTTAGCATAATATATGCATTTTAAAACTTGTATAAGACAAACTATCCTAGTCCAGATGGCTTTAGTTATAAATACTTATAATCATTTAGGGAAGACATAACACCAATATTATCATTCTCTGAAAATAGAATGGAATACTTTCTAATTCATTTTTAGAGACCAGGGTAATATTGATATAATGCCTGACAATAGTACAAGAAAGAGAAATTACAAGTCAATTTCTTGTGAACATATGTGCACATGTCTTAAATAAAATATTAGTCACTGATGAATATCAAAAGATTATTATGATCAAATTGACTGCACAGAAATTAAAGTTTAGCTTCATATATAGTTATATATGTGTGTGTGTATAGCTAATTTCTAAATGTCAGCAATAGACGTAATAGAAAATAAAATTAATTCAAAAATACCACTTGTAATTGTATTATAGAGCATTAAGAGTTTAAGAATACATTCTTTAAAAATGTTTATGGCATCTACACTGAAAGCTATAAAATATTGCTGAGGGAAATTATACAATACCAAATAAACATTTTAAATGCATGAATCAGTGTTAAGATGATGATTTCTTAAAAAATGACTGTGAATTTAATGTAATCCCAAACAAAATACAAGTAGTTTATGTGGCAATGTGAAGACTCTGGAATGCTCAAGACAAACTTGAAGAAGAAAAATAAAGCTTTTAAAATACTTAAGCTACCACATATTTATACGTATTATGAACCCATGTTATTATGACAGAATTACAAGGATTCAAAAGTTGATATATAGAGAAACATAATATAATAAGAATTTAGTAAAAATAAACCTTAATCTTTTTATTTATTAGCCTTGATAGTTGATTTATGACAAAAGACAAACTGCAGTTAAGTAGGAAAGGTATAGTCTTTTCAATGAATTATTCCAGGTTGAAAGGCTATCTGAATGGGGATAAATGCATCTTTTTTTTTTTTTTAGTTGGAGTCTCACTCTGTCGCCCAGACTGGAGTGCAGTGGCTGCTCCCGGCCACCGCAGCCTCGACCTGCTGGGCTCCCACGATCCTTCCTCCTCAGCCTTCCGAGTAGCTGGAATTACAGGCATGCGCTACCACGCCCGGCTGATTTTTTGATTTATTGTAGAGATGAGGTCTCGCTGCCCAGGCGCTGAACCCGCGGGCTCAGGCAATCCACTCACCTCAGTCTCCCAAAGGCGCGGGATTACAGGCTGAGCCACCGAGCCTGGCTAATGCATCTTAATTTCTGTCTCCTACATGAGTCTCATTCTGTTGCTCAGGCTGGAGTCCAGTGGCATGCTCACGGCCATTGCAGCCTCAACCTGCTGGGCTCAGCTGATCCTTCCACCTCAACCTTCCAAGTAGCTGGAACTACAGATGCATGCCACCACGCTGCGCTAATTTTTGTGATTTATTGTAGAGATGAGGTCTCACTAAGTTGCCCAGGCTGGTCTTGAACCCCCGGGCTCAGGCAAACCTCTTGCCTTGGCTTTGGAAAGTGCTGTGACTACTGGGTGAGCCACCATGCCCGGCCCATAAAAATAAATTTCAAAAGAATTATACTTCTGAATGTGAAAGAAAAATAAAAACAAAATAAATATAATAATAGAAACCCCAGAATAATATCTTCATGTCTTTGGAGTACAATGAGTATCTTAAACAGGATGCAAAATACAATGAAAGAGAAAAATAAAATTATACTACCTTAAAATTTTAAAAATTGTTGGTTGAAAGACCTCACACAGAAGATAAATGTAAACTTCATAGTGAAAGAAGGTATTTGCAGTGCTTATAATCTACAAAAAACTCTCATCAAGAATGTTAAACAATGTTTATACATCACATAGGTGAGGAGAGCTAACTCAATGAAACATGTACAAAATATTTAAACATACTGTCACAAAATATCATCCCAAATAAACAGTAAGTATGAAAGTACTTAACAGTATTGATCATAATTATAATATCATTAAAGCCACAAAAAAGTTACCAACATACACTCATCAAAATGGTAAAAACTGAATTAAATCAACAATAAAGTATTGACAAGAATGTGGAGAAACTGACATTCCCATACAATTCTGGTGGAATTATCCACTATTTATGGTAATGTTATACTAATGCTGCTTTTTGTACATTCTATGACTTAATGTTTCCTCTTTTAAGTGTATCCATATTTTTCCTCTATTCATTATAAGACTAAAAATATAAAATATGTAGTTGTTCAAAGTCACTCTATTTGCAATAATCAAAATGTGGCGCAATTCAAATGTCCATCAAAAGTAGAAAGATTATAAATGGTGGTATATAAATAGCAGGGAATGCACTACAGCCTGACACCAAAATTAGCCTATTTTCTCTTTTGGTATGGCTACCAGCTAAAAATGATTTTTACATTGTTAAATAAAGTAATCAAAATAACTAAAAGGATAATATTTTGTGAGATATTAAAATTATATGATATTTATATGTTCATGCTCATTTTTAATGAAATACAGCCATACTTAGGTGTTTACATATTTTTTCTATTTTTCTATCTTTTTTCTATTCTTTTCTTTTTTTTAAAGACAGGGTCTCACTATGTTGCTCAGGTTGGTCTTGGACCTCTGGACTCAAGCAGTCCTCCCACCTCAGCCTTGCAAAATGCTGGGATTATAGGCATAAGCCATTATGACCAGACTTGTTTAGATTTTTTTTTTTTTTTTTTTTGAGTCGGAGTCTCACTCTGTCAGCCGCTCCCGGCCACCGCAGCCTCGACCTGCTGAGCTCC